AAATTAATTTGAGATGATGACCGTAGTATGGTGGCGAAAGTTTGTTCGTTAAGAACAAGAAGTTCCTTGTAAATGACGCTAGCTTTCAATTGATCATGACAAATTAAATATTTATTAATTAAATTATGAATGAAAGTTGATGGTAAATATTGATAATTCATAGATTATTTAGCTGAGAGTTTATTTATTAAATAGTGAAAATTAAATAGAAAGCATAGTTCAAAATTAAACGAAATAGAAATATATTAGATAATATTAAACAATGCGCCAGTTATGTTAACAATAGTATGAATTTCGAACGAGATGAGAATGAGAGTTTTTGTTAAAAAAATTAATTTAATTAGATTACAAGTACCTGTTTTAAATCGTTAGAACAAAAATATGTATTTCGTTATGAATTTATTTGTATGGTCATAATTTCTAAGTAGTCAGTGACAAAATATAATGTCATGTAAAACAATGAGATGAGTAAAGTTTTTACGGAATGATGAACTTAACATCCTATATATACATATAAGTCGTTTCATATACGAGTGTCTGAGAAAAAGTTGAGACATGTCTATTTTGGTGTAGTCAGATACGACTTATGGAATAGTTTTTAGTGAATGCTATTTATAGTCGAATTTATACGGATAATGTAAAGGAATATTTGAATCCAAGTATATTTAATGATGCTAGTATTGAATCTTTCACTGTTTTGAACTAACGATTTAAATGTAAATATTAGAGCATATTTTCATTTGGAAAGAATAGTTAATAAACAAATAGAGACAATTTTTTTTGTATATAAAATTAATACAAATGCGACATTTTTTACAAATAAGTAATACAATTTAATATCAATAGTCTTTATCGACAACTTCAGGAAGATATAGAATTGTCTGAAATGGATTTTACACTTATTGATACCGTGCCTGTATCATTACAAGAAATTTCGTTTTCATCACATTTAATGAAACAAGAAGCATCATTTCTATTTACACAAATGGGTAAAGAGATTAGCTATCGTTTAAAACTTGAAAGTGGTTCTCAAGATGTTTTAATCGATTTTTGTCGAACACATTATATAGATACCGATGAACAATTACGTATGATTGATGATTTTGCGAAAAACTATCGTCCAAACAAAGCATTACGATGGTTAATAAATCAATGCTTTATTTCAAGAATATTAAATCGTGTACTTCGCACTCGTGAACTTGATATTGTTTACAAACTAGGATTTTTTCTTCGACAGACAGGTTTACAACTTCATCGTTTATATGAAGATAATGCATCATTAATGAAACAAATTTCAGTTGTTTATCGTGGTAAAACATTATCATCGAATGAGTTTGATAGTTTAATAAAAAATAATTGCGGTGGTCTTCTTTCATTTCCTAGTTTTTTAATAACTACAATTAATAAAGATGTTTCCATTGATTTTGTTCATCGTCGACTTGCGATACATCCTGATATGATTGGTATTATTTTTGAAATACATATTAATGATACGGTTGCTGATAAAAAAATCCATTTGCCTTACTTAAAGATATAGATATGAATAGAGATGAAGCTTGCTTTCATATAAGTTCTGTTTTTCGTATGGAATCCATGGAACAAATTACTACTAATAGAATGATCATATGGTCTGTAAAATTAAAATTAATTAATGATAATGATGAACAATTACTTCGTCTTGTAGCATCAGTTCGAATTGATGAACTACTTGCTAATCCAGTTTCTTATCTAGGTAAATTACTTATTGATATGGGCGAACATCGACGTGCTGAACAAATTTTTCTTGAATTATTACAAGATGTTTCTATTCGTAGTCAGCCACAACGTCTTGTACGTGCGCATAAGGGTCTCGGCGGTCTTTATTTATATAAGAATGAATATACTACAGCATTATATCATTTTCAACAAGAACTTCAAACAAGTTTAATTTATTTACAACCTAATCATCCAAATCTTGTATCTATTTATAAAAAACTTGGTGATTGTTATTTAAAACAGTATGACTATATTCATGCGATAGAACATTATGAAAAAGCAATTGAATTATTAGAATATGATACACAAAAAGTCAATTCTGAAACTATTACTGATCTATATAATCGTATTAGTGATGCAAAACAAGCGGTCAAAAACGATAACTAGATTTAGTTCATTTGTTTATAGTATTAAATAATGGATATATTATGAAATAAAAAAATGCGCTGAGATACTATCGATATTGTTAAATAAGATAACCAAATGGATGCTATATTTGTTCTTTTCTTTCTCACGTCACAGAAACTATATTAGTAGGTAAAGTTTATCCCTGACTGTATTCACATAGTGATCATCAATATAAAGAAAATATCAAACCAAAGCAATGATCAATTTCCTTGTAATGGGTGAGGGTGGTTGTGTGTATTCTTCTCATTTACTAGCTACATCCACATTCTCAAGATTATTTACATCTTTGAATGTAAATTTGACAATAGTTCCAGTTAGATATTTTTATTGAAACATAATCATTGGTATTAATATATAACACCAAAATGAATTTGTTACAAAATTCTTATCAGTATATTCATTTTTTATTTTCTATTCACAAAAGATATTTCTACGCTCATCCAACCTTATTTACAAGCAAAATATCGATTCTAAATTTTTTTATTAATTGTTAGTATTTTCCTCGTTATTTACAGAACTTTTCTGATTCAGAAAAATATCACAAAAGATGTTTTGATGAAAATCATACAGTTAAATTCACACATGATAAATATAGCATAGTGAAACTACTTGTTCTATGCATTTATTTTGTTTCTCTCCAGCAATTATTAAAATCGTATTATTTATACATTATCAATATAACAAAAGGCACAAATGTATATATTTCAAAGACGAAAAATAATGTTTTGCGCACAACCACTTAGTATTATAAATGTAGAATGCCAAAATAAACTTTTTTGTCTTCGTAATATCAGTTTTCTTTCAAGAACTAAATTTCTATCTGATTATCGACCAGATATTATTTATTTAAGTGAGTTTATATCTGTTTCCGGACATATTCTATACACAACAAAATGCTAAATGATATTTAATTCTGTAGAATTATGATATTTTATAATGAACTAAGTGTAATTAAAAACTATTCATCTTTCATCGACAGCCACGTTCCATACTTTCAAGATTTGTATTATATTATTTATTTATTAAGCAAGCAAAAAAAGGAAAGTTAAAATATAATAAACGACAATGAAAACCGAATGAGTCAAACTAATAAATGTTGTGTAATAATGAAAGCGAATGAAATTTGTTTTGGGTTTTTTGTTTCTTGTGCGACATCACTGGACATACTCGAAGCAGATAATGTATTTTTAATAAATTAAATAGCATAAGCGTGTTTGTGTGAAGTTTGTTTGCAAAAATTTATAGTTTCAAAAATTTTTGCACACGCATGTTACCATAATCAGTAATATACATGTTCATATCTGAGTCAAATTCAATACCTCTTGGTTCATATAATGTCGTTGCAGTACTACCAGAAATACCAGTTCCAATAATGGTAATACCTGTTTTACTGTTGGCACAAAACATTTGAATTCTGTGGTTAAAGTGATCAACAACGAACATATTTAGATATTTGTCAAGCCTGATACCCATCGGACCATGTAAAAGAGTAGAGCTAGAGCCGCTTTTACCTGGCACACCGGCAATGAAAGTACCTGAAGGAGCACCAGGTGTCCATCGCATTATTGAATGTCCATCATGATTTGTGATAAATAAATCGCTACTTACAGATGGCTGATACCAAATACCCCATGGTAAGTTTAATGATGTGTCAGTGTTTCTTTGGCTAGTTCCACCAGCGACAAGAGTTCCGCTGTCACCTGAGATCGAATTTGTTGAGTAGCGCATAATACGATGATTATAACCATCAGCGATATATATATATGCTTGTGTCGAGTCAAGAGTAATATATCGTGGACCATTCAATTGATTTAATGAAGATCCATCTGACCAACTTCGACCAGCAATAGTGATTCCAATGTTTGATTCGTTAATATATTTTTGTACGCGGTGATTATAGAAATCAGATACATACATAGTTCCATTTGTATCAACATAGACACCTTGAGGAAAATTTAGTTGAGTATTACTTGATCCCTTTGAGTCTTTTATTCCAGCAACTACCGTTGCACTTGTAGCATTCTCCAGTAATCTCCATACAACAGTACTAGTAAGCTCATCCGTAATATATAAATTATTATTTGAGTCTATGTAGATATCCACGACATGTGTTACTTGTGATGAATCGAGTATAGTAATTCCTGATGTATTCCAAGTATAGTTACCAGTTGTACCTAGGAATGATATAAGTGATATATTAGTAAGATCTGATCCGTCGTCTTATCGAAATATGTACATCATAATTTGAGTGCATCTCAACTGATCAAATCAAAAAACCAAACGTCAGAATACACAAGATCTAATGCACACAAGATTTTCTATCCAACGTTTCCACAATAATACAACAGTATCGTATAGATTCACTAGTCGAAAGATTTAATCTAATTTTATATGATACATGTAGCCAGAAATCTTACAAGAATTACATAATACAAAATGAATAAGATTATGTAATACAAAATCTGCCATATCTTATACTAATAAATATTAGATTTCTGAATACAACAAAATATTGTGAGATCTGGTAATATGAATCTTATACATTCTTATGAACTCGAGTATGAGAGTATGTACAAAAATGCGCATCTATCCATATCGATCATTACAGTCAACTATCGATATTTCCACACTCTAGTTATCTTTATTAAAGCAAAAGTTTCAGATATAGAAATGTAGATATAACGAATAAAATTCGAAGATGTGTTATGGGTCATTGGTATAGTAATAAGAATATCATACTGTAAGAGTTTGTGTCTATCATTTGGTTTTCTACGTATTTTATAGTAAAGATCGATAAAAAGTATAATAGGTTCTGATACGATTATACATAATATGGAATGATAATCAACGATTAATCTTATCATATAATTGTATGATCTATGTAAGATTCAGTATTAATTTATATGTCTCGCTATATTCTTATATTGTTCCTATTAATGCTGCACAGTCAAAATCTAGGTTTTACTTATCCGCACTACATAATGATAAGTACATAATTGGAACTAAAAGTGAAAAATACCCAAGATTAAACATAGAAAAAATATATTGCATCAAAAATATTGACTGATAAATATGGAAAGTACTCTTTCTTCTATGTGAACAATAGAGAAATGAATGATAATATATTTAACTCATATCTTCTTTATAAGATATCTACCCTGTTCACCAGTGCCTAACACTATAGCTTCCGTCACTCTACATCGTATATAGGTTCTTGTGGATATCACCCATTTTGAGCAACTAATATATTGACATGGAATTATTCTTTTTTCGCTGATGTATTTCAGATATTCTTATGGTTACAAACCCTTCTTAGAAGCAAATTTTTCAGGCAAAGCTTGAGTATTCATTCTATCTATAAATTCTATCGTACTGGAAAGAAAATCAGTGTAATAATGCTGACGATACATCAACAGTGAACGAAAAGGAATACTTTGCAAGTCAGTTCTAGCTCACTGTGCCATAACTAAAGAGAGGCAATTCTTCTGATCACTTCCTTACATAAAATATCAAATTTCGATAGACTCAACGAATGTTATTTTCTCAATCTATTTTAACATGAGAATCATTCGACTGCTATCCGAAAATAACACAAAACTACTTTCGTCAATGATTTTCGTAAGCAACTAAAACTAATGATTTCAATGAAGAGTACACCAAAACTGAACAACACATTTTCTTACTAACATGGATTTATTGTTGTTGTAGTTGATATTGTTGTTGATGTTGTTGTTGATGTTGTCGTGGTCGGTTCTATATTACAAAGGTAAGTTTAGAATGAGAGTAAGCGACTGGATACGGGTTTACTCCTAATTACTTACTTCTTCTTCTCTAACTATTATATCTGTTAGAAATGTGAGTGCATTGTGATAGAAGAATAAATCTTTAGACAGCTACCATTGTAATTGTACTTCTACAGTCTTTACTTTAATTAAATCTCTAGCATAAGAATCCTGACAAATGGCTTTATGTTTGTTATAATTTTAGTGATGAGAAATTTTAGAATTATCCAGATGAACTTCTATAACATTTGCATATCGTTGCTGTTCTTAAAATATTTCATTTTCATTCAAGTCCATACCCTGTTCAGAAACGAATGCTAACTTAAAGACTAAAACTCACAGCTCATGAATATCTGTTACAAAATCGAATGAACTCATCTTGAGGGCGGATGTGGATGTGGGTATCTCTTCTTTTAGTAAATACTCACACCCTTTCATTATGGATTTGAAAAAATTCTTTGATATTCTCGCTTAGAAATATAATATATAAGTTCTTATGATAAACAATAAAGTTCTACTTCTGTCAGTTGAAATAATTCATCATATATTAATTTCAAAATAAATAATTGTTTCAGTTTGACTACCTACCTGTTGTTACTTCCATTTCTTCTGTTATTGATGTTTTTTCACCGTTTGTCTTTTTTGCTTTGGCGATAACAATTGAAACTGTTATAATTATAACAAGTACAATAATAATAAATATGATGCACATCACTTTTCTTTTTTTCAAATATTCACATCTAGAAATAATAAATCTTTTTTTATTGTTGTATACAATTTATACGATACATACAATTTTTTTGGTTGAGTTGCATCCGACGTAACTGTTTCAGACTAAAATAATCAAAAAAGACAAATATTATATTTTATGGTTTTTCTTTTTCTCAATAAATTACATCATCATCAACTCCTATTCTGTTGTTGTTGTTCATTATTGATATCTTGTTGAAAGTTTAATACTTTTACAATCTAAAATTAACAAAAAGACTTTTTTCATTTATAGATTTCCAGTCATTAAGAATGTAATTACAAAGAAACTAAACTGTTTATTTGCATATTTTTTCTCAAAGAATCATCTAAGTTTCTTATTAATTGTTAAAATTTATATTTCAGGTAATATCTAATATTCCTTACTAATTAATCTGGCGACATACAAAAAACAGACTTAGATATTGTTTTTCTTACTTGGAAGTTTTTTATTCCAATTTCAACTAGAAAATTGTTAAAATAATAAAAAAAATATTTATCATGCTCTCTCTCTTTCTCTTTCTTAAATAATCAGTTCTCTTTTGACGCATATCGTCATGTTAATGCAAAACATCATATATCAATAAAAAACAATCTGCTAACTTCCTTTTTCAATGTTAGTTTTCAAAACAAAAACAACCCTTGTCAGATAGAGTTGTTATCTTTTATAAATATGAAATTGTTTGAGACAACATTTAATGTAATTATTAGTTAATAAAACATTGAAAAATCACTGCTGTTCAAAGGATATGCAACTTTTTCTAAAAGAGAAAAAAAGTGATGTTAAAATGTTCTACTATACATAGAGACTCTGCTAAATAAATTGAGAATGAGACAATAATATTTATGGTTAGAAATGGGTTTTAATTTGATTTTATCGTATGCAATAATTATTTCATAGAATAGATTAATGATTATGATATTCATTGATTTACTTGGAAATCGAAATAGAACATTCAAGAAAACAAAAACGATTAATATTTAATCTTTACTTAGTTATAGTCTACTAGATATGACTAGTTAATAAAGAAATCTATAATCATGATTTTAATTACAATCATCGCTGTGCGAAATAGGTAGATTCTTAGAATAACTACATTAAAATGTGACTATCGGTGATTGTGAATATTATATCCCATACTATAAAAAGTTATTTATGCTCTTTTAATCACTTTTCTCTTTGGAGAAACAAAATATGAGATTTGTCTCTTAATTTGTGATGATTGAACATTTATGTCGAGAATATGAACACAAAGGAAACAACAGTTATTTCAATTGTCAAGTCTTGTACAATGGCATGAAATACATTATTTTGTCGTTGAATAACCATGAGAATGACAATTTGACAGATAAATATATTGTTCTTATCCTAATGTTAATTTATTTTCGTTCTCATCTCTTCTAATGCATTATTAAAATATTTTATCGACAAAGTATCTTTTTAACAATAGTTTGATGATTAACAACGTAAGTATAGCTTACCTCTATAGACTTTGAAATGAATGAATGAAAAATAATAAAATATTTTGTTCAAATACATTCTTTTCTCTCAGGAAACTTTCTGTTTCCCTTAAAAAGTGCTGATTTTCAATGTTTTTCTTTTATAGAAATAATTATATTAACTGTTATTTGAACTAGTTGACGTCACATTCTATCTCGTAGAGTTTAATATTTACAATAGATATAACATTTTATTCAAAATTCATCTAAAAAAAACAAAGTGATGGTATTGCTTTCATCAACATATCATGATTTGTCATAAATATTTTACATAAAAACGATCATATACAGTAAGCATCAGAATCATTCACTCATTATTACCTTTATTTTAAATGAAACAAATACATAAAATCTACTAAATATAATGAGAAAACTATGAAATAAATGAAACTGACAAGAATTTCATTTGATTTCTAGTGATTAATATTGTTATGAACAAATGATCTTTTCATTTGTTATTATTCGTAAATCATTAATTGTTATTGATATTTGTCTTCTATTGAGTGTAATTAAAATAAGTTGTTTCTTTTCGGTTACATTCCCCAATAATTAACTTGAATGATAAAAGAAAATTCTTCTATATATTACTGAAAACTGAACATTAGAAAAACAATGAATTTATTTCCTTTTCCAAAACTGATATGTAATGTCAGGGATTATTTACTGTAAATATAAAAAGTGTTCATGATATTGAAATTTTGTAGGAAGGATGTAAAAACAAAGTGTTTCAGACAAAATTTAATGTTATTCTTGTTAAGCATACATAGACAGTCATGCCTTTATGAAGGAAATACAACGCTTCCTCAACAATAACATAGAACATCTTTTGAGAACAGAATATATTTTTTTAAATTTTATATTCAGTTGAAAGAGAAAATATATCAACATTGTCTGGTAGCAGAAATGTATTACACAATTAATTTTATTCTTTTGTTTCACACATTAGATAAATTATAAGAAAAGTGTAGTTGTTTATCTTCTGAATGTATCTACATCAAATACTATTCAACGATATAAATACCGTCAAAGACATGAAGTTTATGAGAAATAAATACATAAACAAAAGAATTAGAATTGCATAGAATAATGTTACATTCACATTCAACAAAATCATCATTTTATTATCTTTTGAAATTGTTCGTCATAATGAATAATTATGATCAAATTAACAGAATTGTAAGTGAAAATAACGGGTGTCCCAGAATAAATGACTCAGGGTGTGAAATGAGTAGATAGTTACTCACATCCACACCCACACACACTATTTTTTATTATGCGAAAAACTGTGATCCTAAGATACAAATATTACATCTGAGTAAAAAAAGAAGTAATAAGAGAATAAAGTGACTAAAGTCAAGACGAACAAGAACGCATCTATTAGTATAAAAAACATGTTTAAAAATGAGAAGAAAAAAGAGAATTAGGAGATTATATTTGTTTTTCGGTTATTTTATTAAAAACTTAATAAGTGTACAACATTAAATTATTAGTTCTTTATATATGGGAACCCATTATTATTGACGACTTTTAAAAAAATAACGAGCCATACGATGAAACCAATCCAGCTAGCTATACCACATAATGTAATTATAATATTGAATACTAATGCTAGAGTACTCATTGTTCGAGCTGTGCTAATATCATTCGATCTTTTGTTACTTCG